TCTATTCTATCATACCTCTACTTTGCTACCTCTTCTATCCTCACATCTATCGCTACTTATTCTTGCACCAAATTTTTCGATTTTTTTTCTAACATTCCGAAAGGCAGTGCTACGTTAGGCTCAGCCGGTAATCCTTCTCGTCATGGTCGTTTGGAACTGCGGAAACCTTCATTTTCCAGTTCCTGGTTCACAAACCTACAAGAACTCAAGACACATCATGCGGTTTCACGTATAGCACCCCTTTGGGACTTTAAAGTTCAGTTTCAAAAGCGCACCTCTTTGATTTTTTTTCCAGCTCTCACTCGCAACTTCTTCTTCTTCTTCTAGCGTTGGTCCCACACAGTCGCGGATCGGCTTCCCCTGTTAGTACTACACTGAGGTCTTTCTTGATTAAGTCCTTCCACCTCTTCTTCGGGGCTCCAACTCTCTCGCTTGCAACCTCAGCAATAACGCGACTACCGGGGAAGAAGAGGGAGGGGTGGCAGAAAGTAGTGAAAAGCTGCATCCTTTGTGGATATTATGAGCTGTCTCAAAAAACTCGCATGTTAGAAGCCCAACCGTTCCCCTAATTAAGGATCCCTCATCGACGACATACGCTGCAAGACTGGTACTGGGCATCAGTAGAAATCCTTTCTTGTCCTGCTGTTGACTACTGGGTGCGTTCCTTGGATCTAGTAGCATGAAACACAAAATGCGGTGGTTTGCATCATTTTAGGGTCAAATCAAGCGCACCATGACAGAAGAGCCATTCACAATTGAGAAAAATTGGGACCTAAATGAGCATGGATTGCACTGTCAGTTACTATGAAAGCGATAAAGAACACGTAATTACAATTGACATATTCAGTAAAACATGTACAGAAGTAGAGGTGCTTGAAAGCTATTGCAAATGCAAGTAATTTGAGTGAATTGCATTCAATTAAGGCCCATCGTAAATGAAAGTCCTGAATGATACCAGTATGAATAAAGTATAATACTACTGAAGAGCATCAATGGCACTTTCAACAGCATATTGCACTTTTGTGATTGCCATTGCCAAATTATGCAAGTGAGTTTCATTATGAGAATGATGATATTTCAAAGCTGGGTCAAGAATACTAGCAAATGACGTTATACGTGAAGATTGTGTGGATGGTGAGAATACTAGATGACGATAGTAGAGTTCATCCACCGTAACCATTGGGTTGAGAAACGAACGTTCGACATACTGCAGACGAGCATTGATAGAATTGATCCGTTGGGCGGAAGCCTTCTTCAAGCCATTCGAAATGTCCTATAGAGAGCTTGTTCAAAGAGTTATGGCATAATATCATACGATACTAGTAACACAGAATTGTTGATATCGTCGTGATCCAGAGGTGCGGTTTCGGCAGGCGTGTAATGAGCCCACCCGCGGCTGCGTTCTCTACTAATAGCGACCGATTCAGGTAGAGAAGAACCAGTTCTCAAAAATGACGCTTCATTCTACGTCTCTGACACCGTTTCAGCCCGAATCGTGATCGAGACCCTGCGCCGACACATTGCGGCAGCAGCCTACCAGCGCCCCGAGCGTACAGCAGCGTCAGCGACAAGGAAAGTATAGAGAACGATCTAGCGTCTGCCAGAGTTTGCCAGCGTCTGCCAGCGACCCGCAGCAGCTTCTCTAGAGCTACGATAGAATAGATTCCAAAGGGTTTTCTGGGCGGTTCTTTTCTACCAATGAACCATAGTAAGTTCGCTACAATTGATGGGAAGTGTGCCCTAGCTGCGCTCCAAGCCACGCCCCCGTAACATGCCCTATCCGTTTGCGCAGGGTCATAACTGTATGTATGGGAGAGTCGGTGCGGAAATCGGAACACCGAAACGTCTCTTTCCCCTCACCCCTACCCCGCCCGCCACGATGCAGAGCACACGCGAGCAATAGAAGAACTTACCGAAGATATACCAGTTATATCAACAGCAATAGGCTCCTCAATCAGATAGTGAGAGATGGACATTCAATTCCTTCAATATCTGAACAGTATTTGATAACTGGAAAATTTCTTTGTATTTTCCTCCGCCGATCTCGTTTGTCAATGATTACAATTGTGATATCTGCGGATATTTGTCGAAGATACTTGGTTTATAAACTCTGTTCAAAATGCCAGAGTTGTTTCTCATTTCTTGCGACTGGTTTGCATTGCAAATCGATCTCTGTAATCGCCGAAAATGTTGAGACCAGTGTTACAACATTTTTGTCGGATCCAGGGCACGCCATCGCGTTGTGATCATTTCCTGAAAAATACGACCCCCCCTAATTCCATCCTCAAATACGACCCCCTCCCCATGCTACCTACCACTTCCCTAGATTCCCAACCTCCTACCAGTTTCCAAAATTTCCCGAAAAATTTTCAGTTTTTTTCCCCAAAATTTTGCTGTCGAGCAGGAGGCGGGGGAGGGGGTGAGGTCGTCAGGATTTAACTATCATTTTCAACTGTCGGAAATAGTGATTGTATAGATCTTTGGCAGTCCCTCTCCCAACAACGACGAAATACGACCCTCCCCCCCCCACCGCTTTCTCGGGGTCATATACGATCCTCCCGTTGTGATCATCACAACAATGGCGTGCCCTGGTCGGATCAAAGGGAATGAATAAACGGCAATGCTCACGATAAACTACGTTCGATCCTATTAGCAAGTCCGTTTTCTGTGATTTGGGTATTACTGGGAGTTCTCGTCGCGATTCTGGTTTTACTAAGCTGCTTCCCAGGTGAGTCAGGTATTGCGCATCCCAGTGACTCAAAGGTCGCCGGATTATTCCGGAAAGAGCTGAAACGACCGAGGAAAGGCATGGAACGGCAGCAGTCTGGTGCTTGGGTTGGTAGCATATAACCACCAGGCTGCACGGATATGGTCGAGTCATATCGCGAGTGTTGCAGACAGCCACGTTAGACTACCTAGAACGCATATTCACGAAGTCTAGGGGAAACTGGTTAATGGCATGGTCTGCGATAAAAAGCCTAGGTGATGTTGCAGAAATGAGGAAGAAAATTCGCCAAGTGAACCGTTTATGAAGAGAAAATGTCAAGGATAACGTTCGTCAAGAGTCCTCTAGCCCCAAACAGTGGCAAAGGAAAGGAGCGAAAAGACCGCGCGCTGGGACGATTCCCGTCGACCAGTAATGAACCCTATGATTCTACAAGAAGAGATTAAATCATCACTCCATGATACTTGCCCGGAGCATTACTTTTGGCTGGAAGGCCGACTTTGGAGGCGGAGTCACTGGAAAAAGGGATGTACCACTGAAGCAACTTTGCGCCTTAATTCCTTTACCGTACAACTTTCCGCCGCGAAACTGGCACAGGGTTGTCCACTCCGGACCGCACTACCTTCCCACATAACCTCTTGCATTTTCATAGGTCATCGCGGACCGTTCCTTTAAGGTTGCGCTTACTGCGTCATCATGTTAACATAGTTTCCACTCTAGGAACTGTGAGTTAGCGCTACGGCACAAGTCGTTTATACCTCAACCGCGATGATGGAAAGTGAAAAATAGCGCGAAAAAAGAGAAAGGCGTAGACGGTCGTTATTATCCGCAGCAATAGCTCCTCCAGATGCCTTTTTAGATATCGCCTCCTCTGTGGTAGGAGTCGGAAGATTCCGGCTTCAATTGGTGCATCAATGACGCAGTGGATTCGTTCCACTCTGCCATGCTGGCGGTCGCTTTATCGACTCCAGAACGCCATTTCTTCTCCTCTGCTCTCAACACCTCTACATGAGATCGGCTGTACTCCCAGTGCAGTATTACTCCGTCTGCAACTAACAACCAGGCATCATAAATACATAATTCTATACTACTGTTACTTTATAACACTCTCTTGTGTCCTTTTGAGCTCCACATTTTCCAACTACGCTATTGCGGCAATAGCGCAGTGCTAGTGCTCTACGCTTTCACTGTTGAAAGAGCAGGAGTGGTCTCACGTCTTTTTCAGGTAACATCACATACTTCCTCGCCCTTGACGTTCTCTGAGACCCTCATGCTCTAAGACCTCTAAGAGGGATGAGATGTCCTCCATGAGAGCTAGCGCTGCTGCTGTGCGTTATTTCAATCAAGGCTTCGAGTTCCAATGTAGTCGGCATGTTTTGAATGAGAATGAGCAACATTGAGGGTTCCAGCCACGACTACGAAGCACGTTCCATATATGTACGTGGATGGTTTCGTGACGTAAGCTACTCACCCGCATTTGATTGTGCGCGTGAGATGAAATGGATATTTTTATTGGGTAAACGACAACACAGATCTAGGGCCATCGATCCATCGTACGCCAGGATATTAGCTACACTCAAAATCCCTGAGATGCGGTAGGCGTGGCTGCGTATCTGACTGGAACGTGGCAGTGCCCAGGAACTTCGTGAGATATTTGCTTTATGAGGCAGTTGTAGTCATGTCTTTGTCCAACACAGAACAAGATGACAGTTGTCTCAAGTTCAAAATATCCCACGAGTAACCCACTTTATGCCATGTCCAAATGCCACGCCTACTCCGTCTCAGGGATAAGGAGTATACGTTGCATGTCACCTTCGATTAAATTGTCATTTTATTTTCCATCTGAAATCGACGAGTAGGATACTATGCCTTCTTGGTAGTCACGACCTATACGTTCTATTATTCTATCTTTCATTTTTCAAGAACTGCAAAAAAACCAAAAGAATGTTGTGTGAGTAGAAGTACTTCTCGAAAATCAAAGAGACCAATCTAAGACGGAATGCACTGCGGCCCACATCTGGTAATAGACACTTACGC